TCGAGCATCTCGGCTTCGCGCCACCCAGCTGCCAGATCATCTTCCAATACTCTCCACGGCCCCGAGCGGTCTTCGCAGGCTCTCCTATTCGGAGGAGAAGGGCACCGGCTTCTTCCGCGCCTTTCAAGAGCGGAAGGCCAGGCGACAAGCCTCGGTGCGAGTTTGTCAGCAGATTTTGGTACTGTATGCCAGCTTCCCGTCGAGAGAGAGGTTCTGCGAATTGCGAGAAGACAGATCGTTGCAGAGTGGTTTTCTATCATGGGCCATCTGTGCCAAAGGCCATGGCCCTCCTCGTGCAGGAGGGTCTGCTTGCAGAGCGCACCCTCCGCCGGGTCAGGGCGGCTCTCTTCCGCACGGTGCCCCTCGGACTTGTGAATCGGCTCCCCTCATATCATTTGTCCCCGTTTGAGCGCTGCATGCCACCATGCCCGAACCTTTACGCTGCTGCAACCCCAGGTCTATGATCCTGGTAAATGTGGCCGGCCGAGAAATTTGAGCACTTGTTGTTCAGCCTTCTTTTCTATCCCCCTGCAGCCGTCGAGGTGAAGGAGGAGTCGTTTCCGCACCTCCTCGATCAGCTTAACCAGCTGGCAATGGGGCAGCACCGGGCTCGGCTGCGCTGCTCTTGCTGGAACGGCCGGTGGCCATCATTTTCCTCATCCTGCCGAGGCCCGAGATCCCGGACAACTCGCACGATGTGCTCGCCAAGTTCCCAGCATCTCCCAATGAGGGCATCAAAGCTGACCTTTTCTGCCACTGAGGGCAACTACATCGCAGGGCTAAAGCGGATGGCGCTCCGGCTGACCCCGCAGTCAGACACTCACAGGGCCGACGGGCTTTGAGCGGCACTGCCCCAACAGAAAGGATATGTCGTCCGCGGATGCTGTCTGAGGAATGCCGACCAGTTCCTGGATGCCCGGGTCCTCGGAGAGTGTCTCAAGACTTCGGCGAGGCATGATTTGCTTTCAAGCTTGCCGTCTGCACCGAGGCCACAGCCGGCCCTGAGGCTGTCTGCCTGTGCTCTTAAAGTCCATCGTGTGCTGACTGCGCACAAGGTGGCGAAGCTGCCCCTCATGG